CAAAAGCCATAATTATAACAAAAAACTGCAGAGTAAATGTTAACAACGGTATATGCAAATAAAATACACCTTTATCAAAATAATTAATATAAATAATGTGAGTTACCTATAATAAAACTAATATACCACATAATGTTCTAAAAACCAGTAAAAAAAAAATTGCATCATTTAAAAAGCTCAAATATCTACTCAAAATATTACTGATTTTCAGCTCTAACATGTCTAGCAAAAGAATTGTCAATTTTTAATATATTTTATACCCTTTAGAGAATAACACTAATATTTTCAAGCATAAAAAAATAAATATTTTATAGTTTCTGTACAGAACACACTTAATTTGAAATAATTTTATGCATATTTTATATCTCAACAGATTATTACTTTTTCTTTATTGGTCCCCAATCTCCATCATCATCAGAAGAGATCTCCCTGTAGCTAATATTCTTTTGAGCTGCTCGTCTTGTACATGGACGATACTCCTCACTTCCATCACTGTCCCATTCATCATCAACTAAAGAAACAGATGAAATCCCTTAATACTGTTAGTCTTTGCATAATTCTGTATGTATTATCAGATGTAGAAAAACAACAAAAACAATTCATTACAAAGTAAACTTCCTTATGTTTTAGAAGTTGTTCAAAAACTCAACATCACCAACATTATGAAAACATCCATTAGAAAGTCTCTATTAAAAAATCGTATGTATAATAACATAAAATTTCATAATTATTTTCTCTAGTCATTGGTCAAAATATATCTAGTGCTGACATGAGCATATATAAATAATATCATATAAATTTCTCATGTTCCATTCAACAGTCAGTGTTCAAGATATGATGAGTTGTGTAATCAATAAAACATCAGATAAGCTTCTAATATTGATTGGTAATACCCATAACAGTGATATGAAAATTGAAAGCGGACACTATTTTTATCTCTGTAATAATTAAAAATGAATTCTTGAATGGATAAACAGTTTCCTAAAACTACCAAACAGTCCAAGTAAGCTAATGAAAAATGATAAACTGAAAGAAACTCCTAAAAAGATTACGATTAAGGACTGATGCACCTCTTAACTATTTAAGTATACGTGTGAGTGTTCAAAATGTAAGATTTATTTTTATACTTAGCAATATTCACTTAAGTCAACATCTTTCTGTGCTTTTTTTTCATGTAATATTAACAAAATAAAAATTGAATAAATTTTTACCCAAAGAACATTTACTATATTTATCAGTTATTACAGTTTTAGAAGTTATTGTATATGTGTCACTTATTATCATACAAGTTAATATCTAACAATTTATTGTCATCTAAATTGGTGTTTTCCGAGATATAAAGCAAAATTATATATTAGCATATTGTCAAATCTTTGATGGTCAGATGAGTGCAGTCCACCACAAGGGTAAAACTGTATGATTGAATATAAAAATCATAGAAGATAAGCTTGTAGTTATTTGGCCACACATTGAAAAATAAAATACTTCATAGTTTAAATTATTCAATTAAAAGTTTATTTATTTAATTGGATACATAACAAAATGTTTTAAATAAAAAATATGCATGCTGCCAATGAAATCATTGGTATTAGAGAGTTTCCTGAATTTTTTCTGAGCATAATATGCCATTGTAGAACCCTAGGATGAAAGTCATAACATTTTTGAACAAAATATCACAAACTTATCCTTGAAATTGAATACAAGCAGGTCCAGCTTCAGCTCCTCTCCCCCTTGGAGGGGCCAGTGGAGCTTTTGTGAATATACAACAAAGGTAATATAACAAACACGTTTGTCCCTCCCGAGTTGACTCTTCTTAACAATTAAAAAAAAATCATAAGATTTTATAAACCACTAGGGTGGGCCAGAGTGAAATTTGGGGGGTGCATTGCTCAACCCAGCAGCCCCCCAGCACTCGCCCTAAATACAAATGTAGTTCTGTTGATTTTTACCCAATCACTGTTCCTTAACATTGGTTGCCATCAAGATGTTATGTAATTGCCTGTATCTGAGCTTCAATACACCATGACCTAATCACACAAAGAAAGTTTTTTTTTCTTCCATTTGAGATGTAAAAGCAATAACATTCCCAATTCAGAGGAGATTTGCACTGAGGTCAAAACAAAGTGGTTTTTCAGTTTTTTGGATAAAAAAAGGGATTAGCATATACAAATATACAGTTGCAATGTTTTACATTATTTGAGCAAAGAATTTTACAGTAAGTTACTGAATTTACATCATGCATAATTAATTGTAAGGAAGGTTTATAAATTTGTACCCTGTTTAGATGAGAAATATTTGTATTATACATTTCTACTGTACAATTCAGATGTATTGTGATTTTAATAATTTAGCTTGCAGTTCAATTTTGATTAACTTAACTCTACAACTGATGTTAAGTTAATAAACTTAATATTTTAACATAATGTCATTAAAATGGTATTTGCACTTATTTATACCTTGCACATAAGGATCTTCATAAAAACATCTTACTATATCACGAAAGTCAAAATATTCCTCACCTACTACTCACTAAAATTTACTTAATCTAGTAAAATAGTGTTAATCTCAATATTAAAACTCCTAATTCTACATTTTACCGAAACTACCAAATTAACATACTAAAATCATCCAACTTCCCTCTCCGATGATGTTTTCGTCTATGGCGACCACCAGCTTTTCTTGATCTTTTTCTCCATCCCGAGTCATCACTCTCTACTACATAATCATCACTTCCACCTGACTGGGAAACTTCCGTATCAGAGCTATATTGTGTAAAATGCCAGCTTCAGCATTTACAAGGAATATTACATTATTTATCACACAGAAAAAAGTTGAGCACATAAATGCAAACAGCTTTTATAAATTGCATATTGTTTTTCATTACTGTATACTACAAACCTATCCAACTCCAGTATTTTAAAATCAGATCAAATAACCAACAGGTTGTTGTACTTCAATAAAGAATTCCACTTAGCTGAATTTGACATCAAAATTTTAAGAAACTAAAAGATTACCATTTTAACATTATTTCTACTTAACACAAAGATCATTCTTTTAATCAGTAAAGACTTAAGTAGCAAGATTTTTGTACAGCCTCACTATAAGAAAAAAGTTGCAAAATGTTAGTGAATACTTGCTAGGGCAATGTAGTGTTTTTATAAAACCCGGTTCGTAGTTTTGCCTTCTATAGCAATATTTTATAAAGTTCTTTAATAATTCAAATATCATTCAAGCTTTAACAAAACTGTATAACTTTGGTATAATAATACATTTTTTGGGAGTGGGGGAGGGAGGTAACACTTTTTTCTTTTCTGTTTTTAATGTTTCGAGGACATACATACTATCTAACACTTCTAACAGCATGAAGATTGCCTCCTACAAATATATTAAACCCATTATTGAAATTTACAATATATATCATATATTAAAAAGTTTACCTTGCCTACTAATAGTAAAACTGATAAAATTTGAAGGAAGGTCTACCTTCAGAAAGCACTCAAGTTATCTGATTTCATGCATTGTGATTTATCTATTACATCTTTTATCCCACAATATTTTTAAATATTATACACTAGTTAACTTCAGAATTGTTTTTTATGTCCTTAATGTTGTTGTTTCAAAAAACATGTAAATGTGACAATAATCACACTTTAAGTAATAAATTCTGAAGCTTATGCTGTGTTTTAACAAAAGAGCTAGACATATAATGCACTAATCATAGCATCTAACCAAGAATATTTTAATGAATTTAACATACAGATGGACACTTACATATTAGATTTAATGATAACAACAGAGTCCAAAAATACTGTATGCAAAATAAATCACCACACTTTTTACCATATGTACCTAAAAAATCCATCAAAATTGCCATATAATCTGTAAATGTTACATTCTATTGATTGATTTTAAAATCAAGTTAATAAGCATATTATGATACAAGTTTCTTGGAAATATAATTGCTATTTTGGTTTTTTTCTCAATCATCTAGGCACAGAATAAAGTAGAAAAAATTATCACCAACTCAGAAAGTCTACATAGCATAATGAAAGTTGCCACTGCTAGTTTCACAATGGTGAAGTAGCTATATTCTTTTCAGAATGTGCCGCTCTGAAAATCAGTTATGTATCAATTATTAGATCTTAAGACATCAACACTGTATATTCGTTACCTCTTTTAAAAAAGTACACGCATTATTATGAAAGCTATTAAAGCTGAATAGTTTTAAGTTTTTTGACTGTCACATTTCATAGTTTTGTATAGTCACTATTTATTAATGGCTTTAACCTAATAAAAAGTACTAGTTTTTGTACTACCTAATTACTTTCTCAACACTGTTTTATCGAAAGTCTACTTTTCAAAATATATTAAACTGCTGATGAATATGAGAAAGCTGAAATGGAGCCAAAACATTGTCAGTAGTATTTAAAAAACTGAAGAATAAACATTCCCAGAAACTGTCTGTTTTGCACTAAATAAATCCAAAGACGGCAAGCACAATTTGACAATACTAAAAAATTCTTACAGTTCACTGACCTAGTATCTTTGTATTCAACATCACTATCACCTTCTTCTGAAGTTGTATCAAGATCATTTAACCGACGATGTTTCCGCCGTTTCTTGCTCTCACGTTCTTCAGCACCTGTAATGTTTGACATATCTTTGCCTTTTCCTGCACCTTAAATGACAAAGCACAATAATTTTTTATTTTGTATTCAAACTACTATAATTTAGATGACAGCATAGAGTGTTTTTACAGTATAATTTAAAACAGAAAAAAACAACATAATCTTTAGATAATGTACCCTTTGTAATTTATTGCTCAATGATATTTTGTTTATCCTATCATTTCATAAGCAATATCCTTGCAACTTAAAATGCAGAGTTCACTCTGATAAGGCTTTCATTTATAACTATCAAAATGGCTTCCATAATTTGATGATTACATTCACCACTCACAGCATCAATTTCACAACTATATTCTAATGATATCTAACATTGGTCATACCAATGTTCTATTGTTGTATGCAGGCATACCATACATTTTCTACCCGTTATGTTGCAAAATGTGCAAGAACATAGATGACAGCAGTGTCTTTCATTGGTAGGGCAGATGATATCTACAGGTTACAGCTCCCTTAAGTTCAATTAGGATAACCAGTCACATGGATAGAGCTAGCCACTATGGTTTGTTTGTTATGAACTTCGTGCAAAGCTACACAAATGATATCTGTGCTAGCCGTTCCTAATTTATCAGTGTAAGACTAGAAGGAAAGCAGCTAGTCATCACCACCCACCGCCAACTCTTGGGCTACTCTTTTACCAACAAATAGGGGGATTGACCGTCACATTATATCGCTCTCATGGCTGAAAGGGCAAGCATGTTTGGTGTGACGGGGATTCGAACCCGCAACCCGCAAATTACGAGTTGAGTGCCCTAACCACCTGGAAAATCTGACATTTCCCATTAGCATAAACACTACTACACAGGACTTAAAGTGAGTTGTTTGACAGGAAAACATCTTGAGGGAAAGAGCTAGTTGATCCTTTCAATCCAGTAACCAGAAAGCAAGTGTTTCAAACATACTGTGTTTGTCTACTGATTTAAATAAAAAAATTACTTTAATTTTGGACAACACATCATGCATATTCTAGTAATTTTTTGTTACCCTCATTCAGTTAATTAAATCCAGTATTATTTCACAATTTTCTTGCCGATAATCCTATTATAAAGTGGACCTAGCAGAAATAATTGCAGCTTGAGAATACCACACTGTTCATATCAGCAATTTGACAATTAAATGTTCAGTAATTTAAAACACTGTTTATCTAGTATTCTGCTCAAGAATGTTTACATCATCATTTGTTTTCAAAATCTTTTTTTCTTTATTAAACAGTTTCAAGCAAAAAATAAAATTTTGAAATATTCTATATTGCTAACTTCATTAATACTCAAGAAAGTTATATCTGCTTCTCAAATAAAGTAGGCCCAGAACAGTTTTAAAGAATAACAAGTGAAATAAAGTGAAGCAACTGAGAATAATGAGAAAAATAAGTATAGCGAGGTTTCTGTAAATTTTATAAGTTCAATGACAGTAATTAAAATAATGTTTTGAATTAGATACCTGCTCCTCTACCCTCAATAATATCTTCCTCAATGGCTGAATTAATAAGTTCATCAAATTCTTTAAACTGATAGCTCACTGATCGTCTGGGACGTGATGATCGATAGGAGAACAGTTTATCATCTTTATCAGATTCTTCCTTTTCTTCTTCACATTCATCAGACTCAGGTTTCTCTTTCTTTTCCTATAAAGACAAAGAAGTAATTAAATCCAGATTTTTCCCATATAGTAGTGCATAATTATAAAAGTCTACCATTTAAAAAAAAAGAGACCAGGCCTTTAAAATGTTAAGCAGCTTCTATTACAGTATATTCAACAGACTTTCTGTATCAATTTCTTAAAAGAGATTAAAATACTTTATTCTTGTGTGAAACAAACAAGACACAATTATTCAGTAAGTGAAAAAAAATCTTAACTTGTAAGAAACTGAAAAAATAAAAAATACAATTGTTTAAACAACAAAGAAAACATGTCACAAAATACAATTTTAATATTGTCTGTTTTACAGTATTGTTTAGGTTTATCACTTTAACCCTTCCATTGGAGTCTATATGATGATTTTAAGGTTTATTACTCTATCTTAAATGGAATTTAATCTTTGTACAAAACACTTGTAAGAATGACTAATCAAATGGGAATTGTGTCATTAACTGATATTTTACTTAAAGAAGCTTAAAACAATCTATATTAAAATACTTAAAATTATGAGAATTTTCCACCAGTTAGGTATACAGTAAGAAATCTTAATTCCCTATATCCCGGGCAATGTTTTTTACATATGCCATTCTTGGACACTTCTCAAAATTAACTGACTAGACTATAAGTAATTCTGAACAAAAGAATAATTGAGTATTGCTTGTAGGTTTAGAAGAGTAGAAGTGTTAATTGCTACTGTTTCTCTAAATCAAACAACTAATTTACAGTATCTTTAATGTTTGTTTTCTTTGTAAAAAGTTTCAGGAAATATTTTTATTTGGAGATGTCTTGGGTTGGCATGCCTGAGTAAATTATGTACAACTAATTTTATCAATTATACTTGATTACAAATTCTTTTATATATTCCTATCTCCATCAATTCTTAGTTTAAAACAGGTTCCTGCTCCTCTAAACATAACTTCAAGTTAATTAGTGAAGAGGTAAGGATCATATTATTAATTACAACTAGTCAATCTGGCACATGCTGTGCTTCAATGAATAAATTATTAAGGTAATTTCAGAAAATGATGTCTGTAGAAATATTCAGCTTGAAAATTACAAAATTAACATATATTATACCTTACTGCTATGGTCCACAGGTCAAAGGCCATGTCACTGTGTTTGTTGACTTGCATTCCAAATTTTATCGAACCATTATTTTATACATTTATGTCAATAAGTTTGGTATCAAACTGTACATTATACTTCAAGTTTTAGTATTATATGTTATTCAATTTCTTAATTTAAAACAAATATTAAAAAAACACTTAAAAACATCAATTTTTGTTTGTCATGTGGTATGTTGAATGCAGCACTGGTTCAAATTAGATGTTTGTGATGTCAAAATACTAAGTATATAATTTTTTATGAATTAGGAACTCATATAACCAATATTAACAAGCTAGAATATAAAAATAAGAACCTCCTATCTTTTCTAATTGCTGAGATATTGCTCATGTACTGAATCAAACACAATGGCCCCAATCACCTCTTTCCAATTTTGGAAACTCTCCCTTATACACACTTACTTCTGTCTTTGACATGTGAATAACCAATTGAAAGCTAATAATGTCCCCCTAGTGACTTTCCCAGCCATTTTCAAGTGTTATGTTGTCACCTCGTTTTTTTGATACAAATCTCCAAGCTGGTAAGGTGAGTCTTTAGTCTGCTCGAAATTTAATATTTTTTCAGACTGATATACAGCTTAGTTACTAAGCTTGATAAATTATAATGGAATTCTTTGTATATATACATATAGTAATTTATGATTTTTTCGTTATTCAAATGTATATATAAAACCTAAAAAAATTATTTCGTTTCATATCCTCTATGTGTGAAACTTCTTAGAAGAAGCAGCAACACAGTACAAAGGTCATAACAAGAAAAAATAATTGTTTGCTTTACTTCTTCATTTACTGTTCTATGTTTTAAGAAAAATAAGTTTAAGAAATTGATTGTAAATAGTAATAATCTATATACATATAATGCATAATAATTGAAAGGTGACTGTATTTTACAAAATACAAGTTCACTAATACATAG